AAATAATTTAAACATACATACAGTAGCATTATGTATATCATGTATGAGAGTATAATGGAAAAAAGAAGGGAAAAAAAACACACCCAAAACTTGGCTCTTAATTCCGTGTGCAGCTGTTTCCGTAGACACAACATGTTATTTTCTCTCTTTTATTTTACAGATAAAGACACTGAACAAAACTAGTAGTGTTTGCTAAATTATACAAAATCACCTTAACACTCTTTCCACTCAGTCAATTCAGACTCATAGAAACCCTATAGAGAGAGTAGAACTGCCCTAGAAAGTTTCCACATCTGTAAATACGGCTTCTGGGTCACAGCTGCTGGCTTTTCCAGTGTGAAGTCCAACACCTAACCTGTGAAGCTAACAGGATACATTCAGGGCTCTGAAACTACTCCAGGGATAAACTTTCTCATATTGTGGGCAGTACTAGAATTTCACACATCTGCTTTACCTAATAATTTTAAAGAATGCTGAAACAACTACACTTCTCTGATTACTCCCACAGTGGTTACATGATGTTTCTTTAGTCTACCTCATATACTGTAGGTATGTTGCTAGGAGGGGCTATTCTTTGGACAGGGACATGATGCTTGGAAAGGTGGGGGTTCGGTGAAAGAAAGGAAGACTCTCAACCAGAGGGACTGGCACAGTGACTACTGCAATGGAAGGCAGCGGTGGCAATGCTCACCACTACACGAGGCTCTTGTGTGTCAGGAAGTGTGAGGATGCCACCGGATAGGACAGGGTTCAAATCTGTCCATAGGGTCACTATGAGTCCTATTCAATTCTATGGCACGTAACAACAACATACAGAAGGGTAAGGGAAAATTCCTTTCAGAAATAAGGAACCTCTGTCCAATTTCGGCTTTCAACTAGGTCAGTGCTCTCTTAATATATTCTGACACTATTTACAGCAGATGGGATATGTGACTTTAAAACTTTTTTTTCCCTTATTCACTCCCTCAGACATATGTTCCACAGAAGATGGGGCTAAATCATGTTTTCTGAGTACATTATTATTTTATCATGTAATAATTTAATAATATTAGTTGCATTTTATTTCATTCTTTATTATACTGATTGAAGCATTAAATTTTATATACAGTTTCCAAATTACACGCTTAGCAACTGATATGGAGTGAAAATCCTCTGTGTATAACAGCAGCTGCAAATGGATTAATGTAAATATAATCAGTTAACAGTGTGATATATCTGAGATAAACAGAAGAAGGTTATATCACCTAAATAAATGCCATTGGTTATGCTACCAGAGGTCTTAAGTTAATATGTAAAGCATATATTTATGATCAAAATTACACATAAACAATAGATGTGAATTTTCAGTTCCAAATGATTGATGGGATTTCTCAGTTCTAATGTAAAATCTTACACACACACACACACACACACACACACACACACACAGAGTCACACACATCTAATGAGTTGATAGTGTGCTATGTCTGCCATAAATGTGAAAAATATTATTGCCAATGTATATTATTCTATACTGTAAAAATTAGGTAAAATCTGTTAAATTTTTATATTCTATATTATTGTGAGCATTGCAAACTTTCATCTATCCCAAATAGATGGCTATAACTTGCACACTTGGGCAAAAATTTATAGATAAATCAAAAGAGAAAGATAATACAATCTGAAAAAAAAGGACTTGGTAGTTATATTTCTCATTGTGAGGAGTGAAATATTTAGAAAGGAAAAAAAAACTTTTTTAAATTAATACAGAGGATAAGAGACAAAATATCAGAGGCTGATCTTAATCTAGCCCATCTCAGGACTTCCCAAAAAGGGTAATGTTGCGTTAAAAGAGTATAAAATTTGTTTATTTGGTAGAAAATAATCATTGGTCATGTAAAAGAAGAAAAAGGCTAAAATTTCTATTTTAGAGATTGTAGTCGTTTTTGTGTGTTGTCGAGTCAGAACCAACCCATAGGTGACCTTCTGGCAGGTTTTTAGAGTCAGTTAATCGCACTCAAGGAGATTGCCCGTCATGCCTATTTATCCAAAATTCTTGTATCTGCCGCACTTTCTCATAATTTCCACAGAAGAATATTTATTTTCTTCAAAGAAAGACATTTCTATTCTCTGAAAGCTGAAATTAAAAAAAAATTCTTTAGGAGTTTATTTACCAAAGGCCATTTATATAAAGTCAAATAGTATTTTGAGGAAAATACTGTATTGCTGTACTTAACTGTTGAAATAGCTCCATCAGAAGTACCTGTACTTATAATACCTAAAAAAACAATGATATTTAAAATTGAGACTAAGGAATTGACTTGAATATGTGGATTATTTAAATAACACACCAGAAAATATCATAGAATTACCAATTGTTTAAATAATTTTCATATATATAATGGACAATTTCTAGCAGAATCTTACTTTTTGGGTCACTTTTCTTTGGAATGGAGGGGAACAAATATATCCCTCTTCCAGTCAGTTGGCCAAGAGAACAAACAGGTTTGTCTTGGAGAGAATGAGACCAGGCTGCTCCTTGGAGGCAAGGATTCTTAAGCTTCGTCTGACATACTCTGGACATGTTGCAAGGACAGACCAGTCCTTGAAGAGGGACCTCATGCTTGGGATGGTGAACAGAAAGCACAAGAGAGAAAGACTGACCTTTGATGAGAAGGATTGATTCAGTGACTGGGAAAATGGGAGTAGGTGTGTCAGAGACAATAAGATTGGCACAGGATAGAGCAGGGTATAGGGCTGTTGTACGTAGGGTCACTATAAGTTGCAAGCGACTCAACAGCACATAGCAACAGCAACTATAACATGCAAGAAATAAATATAGAATATTTTCATTTGTTACTTAAAATTTAAAAATATAAAAATATTTTAGAATATTTCTGAGTAGTCTATAATTTAAATATAAAAAGAAACTAAAGCTCAGAGAGTTTAGAGGGAAATCTGTATCATTGAATCAATGTGTGTTATGGTCAGGAAAGGAATTTAACTCACTTAACTTTATATATATTGTCCCAAAGTATAATTACTACATAATTTCAGGAGTAGATTTTTTTTTTATGAAGCCACAAAATTATTCCAGAGGTTTTCTCGTTATTTTAACCAAACAATCAAAAAATATAATCTGTGGTCAAGAGAAATTTTAAAAATAAGAGTCTTTCTCGTCATGTTTCCCATAAAAAGAATAAAAAAAAAATAGAAACAACCAAAAGTTGGATTTAGGATCACAGGTCACATTAAAGGAATCTTGTTTTATGAAAAATTAGAATGTTTATATTCAAATATAAGGATAAGGTCACTCAACTGCTTAATTGTTCAGCCTGCAATTTCCTTTTATTTCTGGGGTTAGATATCTAGATAGAAAAGGGGGAAGAGATGAGGTTATTATTATTATTATTAAAGGTGAAGTGGGGATAAGTAAAGGCTTTAAAAAAATGGAGGAATTGCATGCATGGAGAGCAGTACATTTTACTTCATTTACTTCTGTTACTGGAGAGTTACATCTAATGAGTGGGTTATGTAGAAGAAGTAGAAATTCTACTAAATGGTAATTTAGGGTCCTCCACAAACTGTTGGAAGCAGGAGTGGCATCCACTTTCTGAACAAAAGGTCTAGGAACTTAGAAAAACGTCAATAGTTCTAGAAATGCTTCAGGCCTTTTGTTCATAGGGTCGTGCTTGACTGGAAGGCAATCAGCAACAACAACAACAAACTGTGAGGTATTTTCATTGAGAAGTCTATTTACTTACTCATTTATTAGGAATCAGAAAATGTAAATGAAAAATAAGATATATTTTACAGGTAAATTAACTATTACAGGATACCAGAAAACGAAATAAATTCTTTCATCAGATATTCTGATACTACCAAAAACAGTATGATAACATCTAAAATGCAATTAAACAAGATAACTTAGTTTGTACCTTAAAGCGATATACTGGTGTAGTGTGAACAGTTAGTGTGCTCAGCAACTCCTGAATAATGGAGGGTTCTCAGGAATACATGCTTGGAGATCTACTTCCAAAAACCTTATAAAAGGTCAATTCTATTCTGATATGTATAGAACCGTTATTATCTAAAATAAAATAAATAGCAATTTATTTACTCTTTTAAAAGTGAAAAAAAATGATAATACTCAAAGACTGCAAATCACACAGGAAGGAGACTGTCCATCTTTCTCCTCCTGAGGCACTGAGGGTTTTTTTTTCTCGGCTTTTGTATTAACTGCAAAAACCCGTATGAATTATGTTTTAAGAGTCACATATATCTATCAGAAATTTTAGTTATATAATTTCTTTGAGGGAATAAGATTTGGTACATTTGACTCACGTTGCACATGAGACACATGAATGAATGTGGATCTCCATCATAAAGGAAAGAATTCTCCCCTAAATCATCCTTACTGCCCTCAATTTACTCAAACTCTTGGAAAGCATAGGCAATTCTAAGCAGCTTTTTGAGGATAGTAGTGATGCTAATCTTAACAAAAATGCATTTAATAAAAATCTTGATTTTAATTTAACTAAGACCATGTTTCTTGGTCTCTGTCTCTTTCTCTGTGTCTTTCTCTGTCTGTTTCTCTCTCTCTATTTCTCTCCCTCCCTCAAGACACACACATACACACACAGTCCATGCATGAAAAATGTGCTTAAATATTGTGCAGTCAAAAGTCTCTGAGTCACTGATGAGTTATTATGTACATCTTTAAGTTTTATGTGTATCAGCTGTTATCTTATTCATGAATTTAAATAATCACTTATTTAAAAATAATAAATTGAATTAATGTACTTAATAATAACAAATTTTTAAAATAACAAATTTTATTTACCTAGAGCTTTATCTTTGGAATAGATTATTTACTGGATATGTGAACTGAGAAAAATATTTTCCATTTTTGTCCCAGCTATTAGAATTTCACTGGTTAACAAAAACATATTGTTAATTTCATTTACTAAGGATGATATCTTATTTCTAAGATTTTAGGTCATATCAGCATCGTGGTGGGACCAATGGATAAATACAACACATCTACAGATTTTACCTTCATGGGGCTCTTTAACAGAAAGGACACCTCAGGACTGCTTTTTACGATCATCACAATCATCTTTTTCACCGCACTAATGGCTAATGGGATCATGATCTTCCTCATCCGCACAGACTCCCGCCTCCACACCCCCATGTATTTTCTGCTCAGTCACCTCTCCTTCATTGACATGATGTACATCTCAACCATTGTTCCCAAAATGCTAGTTGATTATATGCTGGGTCAAAGGACCATCACTTTTGTGGGATGTACAGCTCAGCATTTCCTGTACCTTACCCTGGTGGGAGCAGAATTCTTTTTGTTAGGTCTCATGGCCTACGACCGCTATGTTGCCATCTGCAACCCTTTGAGATACCCTGTCCTAATGAGCCGTAGAGTCTGTTGGATGATCATAGCAGGATCTTGGTTTGGGGGTTCTTTGGATGGCTTTCTCCTAACCCCCATCACTATGAGCTTTCCTTTCTGCGGCTCCCGGGAGATTAACCATTTCTTTTGCGAGGCACCAGCTGTCCTAAAGTTGGCATGCGCGGACACGGCCCTCTATGAGACAGTGATGTATGTCTGTTGTGTTTTGATGCTGCTGATTCCTTTCTCAGTGGTAATTGCTTCCTACGCTCGAATTCTTACCACAGTCCACCGGATGAGCTCTGTGGAAGGGAGAAAGAAAGCGTTTGCCACCTGCTCGTCTCACATGACTGTGGTGACCTTGTTTTATGGGGCTGCCATGTACACATACATGCTGCCACACTCTTACCACACCCCAGCCCAGGACAAAGTCCTTTCTGTATTCTACACTATCCTCACACCCATGCTGAACCCCCTCATCTACAGTCTAAGGAACAAAGACGTGGCTGGAGCCCTACAGCGGGCCTTGGGAAAGTGTAGATCTTCACAAAGAGTGTCAGGGGATGCCTTTTAATGCCTATTTCCCATGCGAATGGTTAATATGATACCCTGGCCAGGATTGACTTGCTGTCATTCAAGGATTTAACTGGAGACAAGACGACTATAAAAGCACAATAGTAAAAAAAAAAAAAAAAAAAAGCATAATAGTGTGTTCTTAGTTTCCTTTTCTTTATCTGTTCTTTTTTTCTAAATTTACTTTTCCTTTTTCATGCTTTCCTACTTTGAGTCAATGTGATTGTAGTTTCCAGAAACAAAAACAAACAACAAAAAACCCAAATAGTACAAACTTAACTCCTCTGGAAAAATTTAAAAGTAAACTTATTGTAAAGTTAAAATAAGGCCCCAGGAATAGATGGTATACCAATTGACATATTTCAGCTAACAGATGCTGCCCTGGACGTGCTCACAAAGTTGTGTCAAGAAATCTGGAGAACAACCACTTGGCCAACTGACTGGAAGAGATCTAGAAGTGTGACCCAACAGAGTGCGGAAACTATAGAACAATATCATTGATTGCACATGCAAGCAAGATTCCGCTGAAGATTATCCAAAATTGACTGGAACAGCACATCAGCAGAGAACTGCCAGAAGTCCAGGCTGGGTTTAGAAGGTGTCGTGGTACTAGGGATATTGTTGCTGATGTTAGATGGATCTTAGCTGAAAGCAGAGAATACCAGAGGACTGTATAACTGTGTTTCATTGATTATGCAAAGGTGTTTGACTGCCTGGATCATAACAAACTGTGGCTGACTCTGAAAAGAATGGGAATCCCAGAACATTTAATCATGCTAATGCAAAACCTATACTTGGACCAAGAGGCAGTAGTCAGAACAGAGCAGGGTAACACTGCTGCATGGTTCAAAATTGGGAAGGGTGTACACCAGGGATGTGTCCTATCGCCATACCTTTTCAACCTGTATGCAGAGCAGATTATCCGAGAGACTGGGCTCTATGAGGAGAAGTGTGGCGTCAGGATTGGTGGAAGATCTATTAACAATCTATGTTATGCAGATGACACAACCCTGCTTGCTGAAAGAGAGGAGGACGTGAAATGCTTGCTGCAGAGGGTCAAGGACTACAGTCTTCACTATGGACTGAGGCTCAATGTCAAGAAGACAAAGATTCTCACCACTGGACCAACTGGCAACATCAGGATGGATGGTGAAGAGATTGAGATTGTTCACAGCTTCAGTTTGCTCGGCTCCACAGTCAACACTCTTGGCACCAGTAGCCAGGAAATTAAAAGGCGTATTGCCATGGGAAAGTCTGCTGTTAGGGACCTCTCCAAAGTACTGAAGTGCAATGGTGTCTCTCTGGAGACTAAGATGTGTCTGATACAGGCCATGGTCTTTGCAATCATTTGTTATGCTTCAGAGAGTTGGACAATGACTAGGGAGGAAAGAAGGAGAATTGATGCCTTTGAGCTGTGGTGCTGGAGAAGAGTATTGAATGTACCCTGGACTGCTAAGAAAACAAACATCCTGGAGAGGGTTAAACCAGGCTACTCCTTGGAGACAAGGATTCTGGGGCTTCGTCTGACATACTTTGGACATGTTGTAAGGAGAGACAGGTCCTTGGAGAGGGACGTCATGCTTGGGAGGGAAGACCCTCTATGAGGTGCATTGATTCAGTGACTGGGGTAATCGGGATGGGTGTGTCAGAGCCAATGCGATTGGCACAGGATAGAGCAGGGTTTAGGGCTGTTGTACATAGGGTTGCTGTGAGTCGCAAATGACTCAAAGGCACATAACAGCAGCAACAACAACAAAATACATTGCAGTTCATTTTAAACAATGCAAACTATAATGAATATTAAAAGAAGAAAGGAATTTGTTACAGTAGTGTATAAATCTAGCTTACTTTCAAAAAGTTGGAAAATACAATTTTGTATATATATTTAAATTTCTATATATTTTTAAAAATTATTACTTAAAAATTATTTTTATTTCATATTGGTTTTCATACACAATTTGTATACATTGACTTTTGTTTATATACATTGTGTTTTACCGATTCTTCCATTCATTGTGTGTCATACTATCATTACTATACACTGTGTTTTATAAAATTAATCGCCACCTATCTGTGACCACCATTACCCCACCTTTTCAGGTCCTTACTAGAATACTCTGATCACCAAACTCTGTGACTTTGTATTCTCCTAAGCCCCACCCTGGACTACCTCTTTCCTTCCCTTCCCCCTTTTAACTTTTGTAAATATCTGGTTTTTGATCAATATTATGACCTAAGTAGTGGAGCAACCTATACATTTCCATTTGGTAGGTGAAGAAGAAGGACTCATAGTTTATTTTTTAAAATATAGTCATTGCACTCACTATAATCATTAGGTGGTTTCACTTTTGGTAAAATTTCAAAGGAAAGACAGTATTTATTTTTTTTTATTTGCAAATCATTACTAAATTTTTTATCAGATGAATTGAAATTTATGCTGGAGGTCAAAAGACATTGTCCAAAGAAGATAAGATATTTGTTTGCCTTAATAGGAAAGCCAGAAGCTTAGTTACAGTTGCTGAAATATTGTTTCAAATGATATTAAAATCACTATTTAATTATGTTGCATGGTCATCAAGATAAAAAGTATGCCAGCCTGGTGAGAGCAATTTCAAACACTTCCCATTGACCCACAAATTGAGGACAAAAAGCACAAAATCAAAAGGCGACCTTATTGAACTGTTCATTCACTACTCTGAATTATAACTATAATTACAATCAGAATAATAATTATACTTGTCCACCTCTATGTTAAATTTGGCAATTTACATGCTTTGTCTGATACACCATTCTCTTGCAATCTTGACCCAAATGAAGGTCATATGTGCTCCAGTTTATAGATGAGAATACGTGGACTGAGGGAAGTAAAGGACTTTTGTCGGATAATACCTTGATTTAGTGTGTACTAAACTCTAGGATTGCAAGAAATGTAATTACTAGAACTATGTATCTTTATTTCCTCGTTCATTTATTTATTGTAAATGTGAGGAAGAGAAAAGGAAACTGTTCTCATGAAAATTACATTCCAGGAATGGAAAAGTTAAGGGGATTAAACTAAAGAAGCAAATAACTAAAGAAACCACTTATGTAAAACACGAATTTCAAAAAATTAACTGGTAGACTTAGACGCTGAAGATAGGACATTCAGAAGAATGATGAAAAACTTATGGCTTGCTTGTAGTTTTCTGTTTCTGGATGTGAATGTTGATTTCACACACAGTAGTTAGAGGAAGTAATTTCATACATTTGTATGTGTATATTGTGTATATGTTAATTAATTTCAATTAAAAGTTAATGTAATTCATAATACAGTTTAATAGCAAACTATAAATATGTGTAATCCCAAAATAAGGTATTAAGAGATAGATGGAAGACTGCTCTAATTATTTTACTGCTGTTGTTAGGGGCCATCAAATACAACTCATAATGACCATATGAAAGATCTGAACCCTGCCCTATCCTGTGCCATCCTCACACTTCCTAACATACTAGAATCCATTGTGGCAGTCACTGCATCAGTCCACCTGGTCAAGGGTCTTCCTCTCCTTTGCTGACTTGTTGCCTTTCTGAACATAATGTCCCTCTCTAAGGAATAACTTCTCCTAGCAATATGCCCAAAGTATGTGAGATGAAGCTCCAAGGAATCATCTTTGCCTCCAAAGAGCTCTTTGCCTATACTATCTCCAAAACATATTTATTTGTTTGTTCTTTTGGCCATCTGGGGATGTTTAGTGTCCTTTTCCAGCACCACAGCTCAAATGCATCAATTCTTTTTCTGTCATCTTATTTACTGTCCAGCTCTCAGATGCATAGCCAGTGACTGGAGAGACTATGGCCTGAATCAGACATGCCATAGTCCTCAAACCGACAGCATTGCTCCTCAGTACAGCGAGTGTAATCATCTCCTGATTTCCTGACTGCTGCTACCTAGGGGGCTGATTTTGGATCTAAGTAAGATGAAGTTGACAATTTTAATCTTTTCTCTCTCTAGCATGATGTCGTCTATAGGTTCAGTGGTAAGAATTTTTGTTTTCTTGACGTTGAGTTGCAATCCCTATTGAAGGCTATATTCTTTCGTATTGAAGGCTGTGGTATTTCTGATCATTTGTTATGTACCTGAGAGCTGAACAATGAATAAAGATGACAGAAAAAAGAATTGATGCATTTGAGCTGTCGTGATGAAGAAGAGCACTGAACATGCCAAGGACAGCCAAGAGAACAAAGTCATGAAAAGGGTGCAGCCAGAGTACTCTTTAGAGACAAACATGGTAAAGTTTTGACTCACAAATTTCAAGCATGTTTCTGGGAGTGGCTAGTCCTTGGAGAAGGACATGATACTCTGAAAAGCAGAGGTCTGTAAGAGGAAGACCCTCAACCAAGTGGATTGACACAGTGACTGCTGCAATGGGCTTTATTGTATGACAATGACACAGTATAGGACAGGTTTCAGATCTGTTGTTCATAGGCTCACTACGGGTTGTACTTAATTTAAGGGCACCTCACAACAACAAATAAATCAATATTTTCTCAGGATAGGCAGATTTTTTTTCTGGAAATTTTTACAAAGGAAATGTTTTCTTAAAGGAAAGAAAGAAGATGCAAAAAATTGGTATGAGTGGGATTAGGGACACCTGATTCAAATTAGGGTCAGCTCTACACTCAAGTTACTACTTTCATCTGTGTGAAAGAAAGCAAATAAAAGAAATAAACCCCTACAAGAAGTAGGTAAACAAGTGAAACCTGGATGTTGACCTAGAAGGGATATCTGTTATCAATACCCAAGGTAAGTGGTTCGAGAGGGGGTAGAGAAGGTAGAGCTCAGGAACCATGCAGTAGAGTGTGCCCACCAGCGACTTCCTTCGTGGCACCTCCTTGCTTACCTGGGGACAGAACCCAAAATCTGACAGCTTCCCCTGGGGCAGGGTGGAGGCAGCTGGGTCAGAGGGGCTGGCATGGGAGATGAGGCAGAGGTGTCCACCCGACTGTCATGGGTCAGCAGGA